TGCTCAATCTCATCCTCTTCTTCAAAGTCACTGTCAGACTCAGAATTCTCAGAAATGTGATCCTCACATTCTGAAACCTCTTCCTCTTCCTCTACATCATCATCAAATGGTTCTCTCTCTTCCAAAATCATTGCAAGGCCCTCTGAGCAGAGCATCTTGATCAGTTGTGATAAGGACCCAAACTGGCGAAGCTTTATTTATTGTGTCTCGCCCCAAATTTTGCAGCTAGGATAGAGTATGACATAATGCGGGAATGTGAGAGCAGACAGGTGTCGGTGCTTGAATTTATCAACATGGCAGGGGCAGAAACACAAAAGTCTCACACACGCACGCACACGCACGCACGCACGCACGCACGCACGCACGCACGCACGCACGCACGCACGCACGCACGCACGCACGCACGCACGCACGCACGCACGCACGCACGCACGCACGCACGCACTCACGCACGCACGCCACGCACACACGCACACGCACACACACACACACACACACATCACACACACACACACACACACACACACACACACACACACACACACACACACACACACACACACACACACACACACACACACACCACACACACACACACACACACACACACACACACACACACACACACACACACACACACACACACACACACACACACACACACACACACACACACACACACACACACACACACACACACACACACACACACACACACACACACACACACACACACACACACACAGAAGGCCCAGACAGGTGCTTTCTCCAATTAAATAAAGATAAAACTGAGGTAATTGTTTTTGGAGCCAAGGAAGAACGTATAAAAGTCAGTCATGCTCAAAACCACAGATAAAGCCAGAAATCTATGTGTAGTCATGGACTCTGACCTGATTTTCAACAGTCACATTAAAACAATTACTAGGTCAGCATACTATCGCCTTAAGAATATATTTAGGATTAAAGGTGGGGTAGGTAAGTTTGAGAAACCGGCTCGAGATCGCTAGAATGTGAAAATACACAACCGGAGAAAATCTGCCACTTCCTTATAGAGCCCCTCCTCCAACACACACGAACGCGCACATGACCAATGAGGGCACGAGATAAGTTTGTGCACAGATGGAAGGCTGACAGGCAGGTAGGCCATCCAGTTATTTTAGCCGGGCCGGCTAAAATGATTGGTCTTGCTTTTTACAGTGCTACGGCTTCCACAGATGACATTTTTTTATGGATTTTTTGTCAAAGCACTTAAGATATTCATTGCTATCGGGATGTTAAGAGCATTCCATGGAATATAACAAAAAGTGTATCTCGAGCCGGTTTCTCAAACTTACCGACCCCACCTTTAAAGGACTATTGTCAAAGCAGGATTTGGAAAAACGTGTCCATGCTTTTATCTTCAGTAGACTCGACTACTGTAATGGTGTCTTTACAGGTCTCACTAAAAAAATCAATTATAAAGCTGCAGCTGATTCAGAACGCTGCTGCTCGAGTCCTCACTAACACTAAGAAAGTGGATCACATTGCTCCAGTTCTAAGGTCTTTACACTGGCTTCCTGTGTGTCAAAGAATTGATTTCAAAATACTGCTGCTGGTTTATAAAGCATTGAATGGTCTAGTGGCCAAAATAAATGTCTGATCTCCTGCTAAATTATGAACCATCCAGAACTCTCAGGTCTTCTGGGACTGGTCAGCTTTCTGTCCCCAGAGTCAGAACTAAACATGGAGAAGTTCAGTTATTATGCTCCAAATATCTGGAACAAACTACCAGAAACCTGCCGGTCCACTGCAACTCTTACTGCTTTTAAATCCAGGCTGAAGACTTTTCTTTTTGCCGCTTCTTTTAATTGAACTATTCATATCTCACACTGCACTGTAACTTTTATTCATGTATTTTTTATGTTTATTGTATTATGCCAAATGCCATTTTATAATGTGTTTCCACTGCACTATTTTTTTAATGCTCTTAATGTCTTTTTTTTTTGTAAAGCACTTTGAATTGCCTTGTTTTGAAAGGTGCTCTATAAATAAACTTGCCTTGCCTTGCCTCGCCTTGCCTTGTTTAGTTTATACTTTAGGTAAAACATGAATTTGAATGGACAAATCAAGTAATTTAAGCAGTCAGATAATGAAAATGGAATTTAAAATGTATTATTTCCCTCTGAAATGTAGTGTAGTAGAAATAGAATGTGGCATGAAATTACCCAAGTAAAGTACCTCAAAATTAGTGAATGTACTTACATTCCATCTCTGATTATATTTCTTCAACCTCTTTTCTCTGTAAGGGAAGATCTTCTTCAATAGGCTTTAACGAAATCAAGTAAGTCACATATCAAGATAAAACAACAAAAATACGCCATGGAGGCTCAACAGGTCAACTTCAACAGAATCTGTTGTAACCAGCTGTAACCCTGAACCAGTTTGAGTCACTGTGCTGGATGCACAGTGACTCAAACTGGTTGAGTCAGTTCAGTTCAGAATAGCTTTAACCTTAATGAGAACCTGTTCATCGTCAGGAGCTGACTCATGCTTACTTTAATTACTTTTCATCCACTTTTACAAGACTGTTAAACAGGTCGAGACTCCTGGAAAAGACTGTTTATGATTCTAGTAGCCTACTTTCAACTGGAACAAGTACTCAGATCTTGTACTTAAGTAAAAGTAAAGTACCAGTGTAGGAAAACAGAGTAAGCATTTACTTCATGTTTTTTAAATCGGGCCCTATTTTGCTTATTTTCAGGTTCATATTGTGTTTTGCGTCTCTACTGTGACATGTCTCCATGCTTTAATGTTCAAAAAGCTCTTTATTTTTCTCATACTGCCTGTGCTGTAGCACCTCTTTTCACCCTCTGTCTGAAACCAGCTCAGTCTGCTCTGATTGGTTAGCTGGCCGGCTCTGTTGTGATTGGTCAACCACTTATGCCCCTTTTCCACCAAACCGGATCCGGTTCAAGAACCATTATTTTGCTTTTCTGGTGCTAAACCGGTTCTCCTCTGTAGCACCACTTGTATTTCCACCGCTCAGAGCCCGAGTGGAGCTCGAGTGGAGCTGCGTCATTGCGTCATCGTTTGCGTCATCCCTCATATCGACAACAACAACAATGATCCCGGTAGTCTTTCTTGAGTTTTTTTAGCTTGTTGCTTATTTGCTCCAGAGTCCGGTGGTATCCAGCTTTGGCCAACTCCCGATGCAGCTGCTGGAAAATAGCTTTAGACCGCGTTGTGCCGTCCAACTTCCTCTATACCTCTTGCGTTGACCAAAGCCCGAGGAGGTAATTTGTCTCTTCAGCGGTCCACTGCTGCTTACATTTACTGGCATCCATCCTGGTTCGTAGTTGTGTGTGTTGCTGAACAGAATTTGCGGCATTTTGTTGTTGTTGTGGAAAAGCTGCATTTGAGATGTCCCGCCCCTTAAGGTGCGTTCACACTGGACGCGATGCGAAGATTCGCTTCGCTCTAATCGCTCTTATCGCATCGCTCTAAACGCTCGAGTTTCACCGTGGCTGTCAGCTGTGTTTACTCGCATCATTCAAACAAGAAGCGCTGGCCAGGGGGCTACAACTACAACAAAATGAACATATTTTACCGTGATTTAATTGTAATACACGTTTCTAAATGATGCCGAAGTAACAACATACTGATACCAGTTAGTAAAAACCATGAATTAATGCTTTGACAAGTCTGCAGACAAGACGGCAGGCGAAAAATCTTTTAAAATGCTTGTTTTCTGAATGGAGATTGGACCGACCAGGCTAAGCTAACGTTGTATATGCTCCACCCACACTCACAACAACGGCCTATACAGACATAAATAAACCAGCGACTGTATTCACCATGACACAGGCAGTCTGTGGTTTGTACTTGTTTAACTTTTGTCTAGTTTCTGAACAGATATGAGGAGCTGTGAGCTCTGAGTGCTAACAGCTAACGGCTGATGTTTTGGTTTTCTGGTTCAACGTCAGTGACGACAGGCTGAGATCCTCACTGCTGATTAGCTACCGCGAGATCGCGTCACGCGAATTTGACGCTCGAGTTGAAACAATTGAACTTGAGCGGCCCCCTCCAATCGCCTCAATCGTGCGGCGTGCATGAAGCGGTTGATGCGAATGCCCAACCCAGTCTCATGGCATTTCGTGTTATAGTCACGAAATTAATCTATTGATTCGTGTTCACCAACACGATTTCCCCATTTTTTTCGGGTCACACAGAACGATTTTAAAAGCAATGTAAATAATAACAAATTAGAAGGAAAGAAGATAAAAAAAAATACAGATTTCAGTATTCTGACACAGAACGATTTTAGAATCAATGTATTTCTATTGGTAGTATGTTTCGTGTCTGCACCAAATAATAACAAATTATAAGGAAAAAAAGATTTTAAAAATACAGATCTCAGTATTCTGAGGCTCTGAGCCCCATTTCTTTTCCTCGCGGACGGCAAAAAAAGTCAGACATTATACAATTTAAAATAAAAACAATAATCGTGGCTTGATATTGAGTAAGAACATGTTTTTATGAACCACACAGCTTCTGGTCTTCCAAGACACGACCGGACAAAAAGACGTGGTGCAGGCACGAAACATACTACCAATAGAAATACATTGCTTTTAAAATCGTTCTGTGTGACACGAAAAAAAGGGGAAAATCATGTTGGTGAACACGAATCAATAGATTACATTTATTTCGTGACTATTGAGACCCGTGAGACTGGGTTGCAATGCCGCGGCGCGATTGAGGCGAATTTGCGTCTGTCTCTGCATTGACTTTACATGTAATCAGGTGAGGGGGGTTGTGTGGGAGAGAAACTCCCTCTGGAGGGAACACAGGGATGTTAGCCTTTGCAGACCATTTACATGCACAGAAACCTATAGAAAAAACTACAGGAGAGGGGAAAACCCCAAAAGGCAGAATAGGGCCTCTTTAAGATTTTTAGGAGACTTGCTTGTGACTTGGACACGTGTGACATATTCCCACTTCTGCAGATCTGCTATCCTTCATACCTGTCTCGTTCACCTGGTCCTCGGTACAGTGGAGCTTTGAGGCCTCATCTTGGACTGACTCTAGGATTAGAAATAAAAAAGAATTCAATGTCTACAAGTTTTAACTTCTAATCTTTGGCCAGTTGGTGTTTTTCATGGGGAAACAAATTAATGTTTATTTTATTGTATGAGAATGTCTATGGTTTTTGGCAGATTGTAACAATAGTGAACTGTAAGGAATTATGACAGTATATTGTTTACCCTTTCTCGATGTCTCCCGTACTGATGAAAAAGACATCAACCCTCTCCGCCGTGTGAATCCTCCCTCTTCATTACTGTGGTGTCTTTCTGCAGAAATTCACATTGATATCGTGATGCGTTATCAACAAAATAAAGGATAAATGACAAGCAGGAATTGTCTTTATTTAAATCAAGACATTTGACATCACTTGTATTGCATGATTCACTTACTTTTAATACGCATAGATGCAAAGCTGAAACTCCTTGAGTTTGGAGGCAGCTCCGTCTCCAAATGCTGAGAGAAAGAGGAATAAAGATGGGTTTAAATAAATATAGAACTGTGTACCATCAATTAGTGGTTTAAAAATATATAATAACAATTTAAAAAAAGCATGTCAGTATCTGAACAGCTACTGGTCATGCAAGTTGGATATATATTTATAACATGATTCCTAAAGATGATTCATCTAGTGCTACTGTTGCGTCACAATTTTCCCTTTTAAACCAACATCGCTTCATTACATGACATGTTACTTGTTAGACGCTTTTATCCAAAGCGACTTACATACTCAATACTGTGGACAATCCCCACAGGAGCAATTTGGGGTGAAGTGTCTCAGGGACACAACGACATGCTGACTGCAGTTGGCCCCTATTTGCTCATTGTCAGGTTTCATATTAGTATTTACTGTCTCTACCGGTTTAATGTTCAAAAAGCTATTTATTTTTCTCATACTGCCTGTGCTGCAGCACCTCTTTTCACCCTCTGTCTGAAACCAGAGCCCAGTCTGCTCTGATTGGTTAGCTGGCCGGCTCTGTTGTGAGCCCCTCTGGAGGGACATATAGCTGTCATGAAATTAGCTTAGTCATGTACAGAAGATGAATTCTGATGTTTAACACTACATTTCAAATGAAAGTAACCTAGATATTACTGTTGCTAAAAATCTTCCAGCCACCAGCGGAAGAACTGATCACTCTGCAGATGCATCTTTAATCAGATGGCAATTGTTTGACTCAAATACTGTACTTTTTTTTGCTGTGTCAGAGTCTGGGTATGTGTATCCTGATCACCAAAAATAACTAATACAAGCAAATAGAAACCATTTCCTCACTACCATTAGTGACTGGTGTTGGTGTGTTGATGCAGCTTTCAGTCAGTTGGGCTGCTGTTTGAATATTTAACTGGAGGCTCATACGGCATGAACTGTAGGCTACATGAGCCTTAATGCTTCTGCATGGGAAGACAGAGACACTATTTATAGCCAACCAAAATGACAGGACATGATGATGCCCTATGGGAAAACTCCCGAGCAATATAAACCACCAGTGTACAATTGGAATGCATCAAGGCAGGGTAGGAGTGGAAAACAACATAAAGAAAAGCATCTTCTAATATCAGTAAGTTAGTTGATAAACAATGTCTGTTTGCATTTTGAGTTTCCTTTTTCGTCAGTCAATGATCTTCTCTGGGAAACATCCCCTGGCTAAGGCAGTTATGGGTTTAATGTTTTGTACACAAAACTAAAGCCAAAAGTAAAATGATAGATTCCACTGTACAGTGACGGAGACTCATTGTCAAATCCTCACAGCGGTGGAAGAAGTATTATAATTTAGTAAAAGTGCTAAAGTGTAAAAAGAAAGTAAAAATACAAAGTATCAGCATCACAATATATTCAATTACCAAAAGTAAAATGGCCCATTTCAGAATCATGACTATACTGTATTAAATGACCGGATTATGATTATTGATGCATTAATGTGTTCACCACAGCTGGTTATGGTGGAGCTAATGTTATATACTGCGGCTGAATATTTTAACATAACATTTATATCAATGTTTATTTATTAGTTGAGTTATAGTTAGTATAAACCAATAATCTAAATTAAACTGACAAAACACTTACAATTATGAAACAGACTAACTGTGCCAACAGGGACAGTTTGCTCCGGTCCCAGCTGTGTGCATCACTTATTATTGTCCCCTGGTTTCCGTTGTGTTTTGAGCTTCCTACAGCATTTTGTGTTTGCATCATTTCGATTAGGCAGCACTTTTAGTGAATGTTTTCTAAATGCTGCGCATGTGATGTGGAGTTGGTGAACATGTTTCTTTATTTGCATGTGTTTTGGCACATTAGTTTTTTTTACATTTGCATCCTTTGTTACGAACTCAGACACTTAGGATGTAGGACCCAATTGCACGACCCGGGAGACAGAGGTAAAGTATTAGTAAGATACTTTATTTTCCAAAATACAGCAATGAACAACAAAAAAGGTAACTATCAAATCTCTAACCGAGATGACAAAAATAGAGGAACAAAATGAAAGCGCTCACGTAGTGAGGAATCAAACTTTACAAGAGTACAAAGAGCATAGACCTGACCATAGCAAGAGACAATACGAACTGACAAAGAACACTTGGGAGACAGGGGAATATAAGCACAGGGTAACTAGACACAGGTGGGACTAATCAGGGGCGGGGCTGACATTGATGAGCACAGGAGACACAGGTGAAAATAATCAGGAAGCCTGGAATGAGAGAAAGCAAACGTAAATAACATGCATCTCTCTAGCATTTCTGTCGGTGCACAACAGTACCCCCCCCCTCTAGGGCCAACTCCTGATGGCCCAGGCTGATTGTAAAAATCGTGGATAAGCGTCTTGTCTACGATAAATGACGCAGCTACCCAGCTTCTAGCCTCAGGACCGTAACCCTTCCAGTCTACCAGGAATTGCTTCCCCCTCCCCCTATTATGGACCTCCAGTAGCTTACGGACCTTGTAAACCTCACCCCCTTCAAAGAACTCGGGCGGTGGAGGGGGCTTGGAGGCGGGAACAAGTGTGCTCTCGTACACCGGCTTGATTTTACTGACGTGAAACGTCGGATGTACTCTCATAGTTCTGGGGAGTTGCAAGCGTACAGACACCGGGTTGATGACTCTGGACACCGGGAAAGGACCCACAAATCTCGGAGCCAGTTTCTTTGAGGCGACATGGAGTGGTAAGTCCTTAGTGGAAAGCCAAACATTTTGGCCTGGTCTGTAGGAGGGAGCGACCCTGCGATGGACGTCTGCAACAGCCTTCATCCGAGCTGAACTTCGGAGAAGAGCCTGGCGAGCACCAGCCCAAACTCGTCGACAACGTCTGATCATGGCATGAGCCGATGGAACCCTCACCTCTTCCTCGTTGTTAGGGAAAAATGGAGGCTGGAAACCATTGACACAATGGAATGGAGAGAGACCTGTGGCTGCCGTAGGAAGAGTATTGTGGGCAAACTCGACCCATGTGAGGTGGTCACTCCAGGTAGTCTGGTTCCGGGAGACGAGACAACGTAGCGTAGTCTCTAGTTCCTGGTTCAGACGCTCCGACTGTCCATTTGACTGAGGATGATATCCTGATGACAAGCTGACGGTGGCACCTATGAGTCGACAAAACTCCTTCCAGAAAACGGAAATGAATTGTGGACCCCTGTCGGAAACAATGTCATCAGGGAATCCATGGATCCTGAATATGTGATTCATCATGACCTCTGCGGTGACTTTGGCAGAGGGAAGCTTGGTCAATGGGATGAAGTGAGCCATCTTTGAAAATCGATCCACCACTGTTAGGACCGTAGTCTTGCCTCTGGATGAAGGAAATCCTGTCACAAAATCCATTGAAATGTGTGACCAAGGACGTTGGGAATCGGCAGGGGCTGGAGCAAGCCCATCTTGACTTGTGATGAGGTCTTATTACACGCACACACCGGACAAGCCGCTACGTACTCTGCCACATCTTTCTTCATGGCTGGCCACCAGAAACGTTGTTGTATCCTGAACATTGTCCTTGTTACCCCCGGATGGCACGAAAGCACAGATGAGTGAGCCCAGTGGATGACCTTGGAGTGAAGAGCCTCAGGAACAAACAGCAGATTGTTGGGACACTCGCTAGGTGCTGGATTCTTGACATTCGCCTTTTTTACGTCCGACTCCACTTGCCAGGAAAAGGCTCCGATCACACGGTTAAGTGGAAGGATGGTCTTGGGCTCTACCGCAAGTGGTTCCGGATCATAAAGACGAGACAAAGCATCGGGTTTTTGATTCTGAGACCCGGGACGAAAAGAGAGGGTGAAATTGAACCTACTAAAGAATAGTGTCCACCTGGCCTGACGGGAGTTGAGACGCTTAGCCTTTCTTATATATTCCAGATTCTTGTGATCTGTCCAGACTAAAAACGGCTGCTCTGCACCCTCTAACCAGTGTCTCCATTCCTCGAGGGCAGCTTTTACAGCTAACAGTTCCTTGTTCCCCACGTCGTAATTCCGCTCTGCTGTTGTCAGTTTCCGCGACAGGTAAGCACATGGATGCATCTTGTTGTCTTCTGCAGAACGTTGAGACAGTACTCCTCCAATTCCCTCATTGGAAGCATCAACCTCGACCATAAACTGGCGCTGGGGATCTGGAATGGTGAGTATGGGGGCTGATGTGAATCTCTCTCTGAGACGTTGGAAAGCGAAGTCCGCCTGGGGAGTCCACTTGAAAGGAACCTTAGGAGAAGTCAGAAGATGTAGAGGGGCAGCAACAGAACTGAAATTCCTAATAAACTTCCTATAGAAGTTAGCAAACCCTAGAAACTGTTGGACCTTCTTCCTGGAGTCTGGTGTAGGCCACTGGGATACTGCACTGATTTTAGCCGGATCCATTTGCATATGATTAGGTGAGATTATGTATCCTAAGAAGGATACCTCTTTTGTGTGGAACTCACACTTCTCTGCCTTGACATATAACTGATTCTCTAGCAGTTTCTGCAAAACCTGACGGACATGGTTAACATGAGACTTAGTGTCTGGGGAGAAAATCAGAATATCATCCAGATACACAAACACTGAAATATTCAAAAATTCCCGTAAAACCTCATTCACAAGAGCTTGAAACACAGCCGGTGCATTGCATAGTCCAAAGGGCATTACTAGATACTCATAGTGACCACTCTGAGTGTTGAATCCTGTCTTCCACTCATCCCCTTTTCTTATTCTAACCAAGTGATATGCATTTCTTAAATCTAACTTGGTGAATATTTTGGCAGTTTGAAGTAGTTCAAAGGCAGATGTCATGAGTGGCAGAGGATAGCGGTTCTTCACCGTAATGTCATTTAGTGGACTGTAGTCTATGCAAGGTCTCAGAGACCCGTCTTTCTTTCCCACAAAGAAAAATCCCGCTCCGGCTGGAGAAGATGAAGGACGGATAATTCCTGATTTGAGTGAAGAGGAAATGTATTCGTCCATTGCTGCTCTCTCAGGTCTCGAAATCGAATAAAGTT